CCGCATCCCTAAGTGCCTCGTCTACATGTTTCTTAAATACTGCTAGGGGTGGAACAGGCACCGCATCCCTGGGCAGCCTGTTCCAATGATTCATGGCTCTTCCTGAGGAATCTGCCTTGGGATGGGGTTCTCAGGGCGCTTGGGGGTGCCTGCCCCACTGCAGGGTGCACGTGGGCCTGCACATCCCACCAGGATAACGGGATTGGAAGAGCCAGGCCTGACATGTGGGAATGCCGGGGCTGCGGGAGCCGGGATTCGGGCTGTCGGGTCCCATCAGGCTGGGAGCAGAGGTGCCCGTGCAGGTGCCACCCTGACGAGCTCCGCAGGAAAGGGCAGCTCTTCCCCTCCTCGAGACTTGCTGCTGAGCCTGGTGTCACCGTGCTGGGCCACCGTCCCCAGCACCCTGGGCCACCCCAACCCCACTTCGAGGCAGTTCCAGACAGGACACCCCCCTCTGCCAAGGCCCGCTATGTCCTGGGGCACAGGTTACCTCGGAGAAGCTCCTTATTTGTGTGCTTAATTGGTGGTTTTTCGCATGCATATTTATACGACTGTAAGACATGGAAAATGCTGCCTGGGAAACCTGCCGAGCAGCCGGTGCTGCAGCCTGCGAGGCCGTATTGCCCCATGCAGCCCTGTCCTGCTGTCCCCTCCGCTGCCCCGAGGCCACCCTTGCCCATCCCTGTCCCCATCCCTGTTCCCAGGGCTTAGGGCAGAGCACCCTTGTTACAAGGACAGGGCTGAGGGATGGGGAGCCACCTCGGTGCTGCCTGGGGAGCCTGGCAGCCCTCCCGGCCCCGCGTCCCTCCTCCTGTCCCCTGGCTCCGGAGTCGCGGCAGGGAGTCACAGTGTGTTTATTGTGGGAGCGTTTCTGCAGGGCCCGTCCGCCTCGGGGTGGTGGCACGTACGCCTCGGGAAGGGGACAGGGACGCCTCGGTGCGGGGGACGCGCGGGCACCGGCCCCAGGGGACAGCAGCTGCACATGCGGGAAGAGGGGCTGGGAGCAGGACGAGCCCTGCGGCACTGCCTGGGGGCATCCCGCATTCCTGGGAGCATCCCACGCTCCTGGGAGGATCCTGCATTCCTGGGAGCATCCTGCATTCCTGGGAGCATCCCACATTCCTGGGGGCATCCCGCATCCATGGGAGCATCCCACTTTTCTGGGAACATACAGCTTTCCCAGGAGCATCCCACCAGGCTCGGTGCCTGGCCCCAGCTGTGCTCCCAGAGCCACTGCAGCCCCCAGCTCCTTCCCGGGGCCGCCGGCCTCCCCCAGCGCTCCCGATGGGATGAGCACGGGCGAAGCGAGCAGGGGAGCTGGGAAGGGGCTGGGGGGGCTGCCCTGCTGCCCCCCATTCCCTCTAGAGGCTGAGATCCACCACCACGTGCCGGTAGACCAGCGTGTTGGCCTTGAAGCTGGGGGCCAGCAGGAGCTGCACGTCGGCGGCCGGCACGTAGCGGAAAGCGCGCGGCGCCTGCACCGACAGCTCCTGGAACTTGGCGAACTTCTGCTTCTCCTCCTCCCACAGGTAGACGTGCGTGAAGGAGAAGTCACTGCCCAGGGCCAGGTACTGGCGCTGCCCCACGGCGAAGGGCTGCATCACCATGGAGCCGCGGGACGGCAGCGTCTGCAGCTCCACGAAGCGCTGCCCTTCCCAGCGCACCACCTTGGAGTCGCCGATGTAGCGGCTGAGGCAGAGGAAATGGTCCCGCTTGGCCTTGAAGTGCTTGACCATCTGCACGTCGAGCACGTCGCCCACCTCGCCCTGCGGCGCGAACTGCTTCTGCGCCCGGTTCCACTGGTAGATGACGGGCGCCTGGGAGCTGCTGGAGATGATGAGCCGCGGTTTGCCCTCGTTCTCCACGTACTCCACGTCGGTGTCGCGGTGCCAGGCGTGCAGCGCCTGGTGGGAGTAGAAGCCGTTCTGGCTGAGGCGGTAGAGGCTGGTGGAACCCGCCTTGGAGCTGTCGGCGATGACGAAGTACCAGTCGCCCTCGATCTGGAAGGCCTCGATGTCGTTGGGCTTGCGGGTCTTCTGGCTGTCGATGTCCTGGATCTTGATGAACTTGTCCACCGTGGTGTCCCAGCGGTAGATGTAGGAGCCCCCGAAGAGCTGCGCCACCACCACGTAGAGCTGCTCGTGCGCCACGATGGGCTTGCAGTGCACGGCCGAGTGGGCTGCGAGGAGGGGGGTGTCACCCGTGGGGACGGGGCGCGCGGACGGGCAGGACGCCCTCCCCGCGAGCCCGCGGCCGCCTCACCGGGGATGCGGTCGAAGTCGCGCAGCTTGCGCTCCACGTAGTCCCACTTGAGCACGGTGCAGCTGCTGGCGCCGGGCTGCGCCAGGGCCAGGTACAGGTCGCTGGCGTAGGTGAAGGGCTCGGCCGACACCGCCTGGAAGGGCAGCACCTGGTGCACCACGAAGTCTGCGGGCAGAGGTGGCCGTGAGGACGCGGGCAGCCCCGCGCCGGTGCCGCCCGGCCCGCGGCCCCGTACCCGTCGTGATGCACTCGAAGTCGGCGAGCGCCAGGTCGCGGATGCGCTGGCCCTGCCGCTGCCCGGGGCTGCTGCAGAAGACGGCGGGCACCGTCGTGTTGGTCGTCTCCAGCCACTCCCT